TGGCTGGTAGCATAACCTTCCGCCTTCAAACATGCAAGCACCTGGAGATACAACCGCCCGCACTGAGCGTATTCAAAGCTTACATACAGCGGCGGGACAGCCATACTATAAACAAAATTTGAAAAGACGGTAGCATTCGGCCAGCACTAAAAAAGGCGATGCAAAACGCAATGAAGCAGCGCACGGCGCGTACCTCCACTCGGCTGCCTGAGCCGAAGAAGCAGAGAAATATGCACTGCGTAAGGAATAAGAACCAATGACTCTACAGAACAAACATTCCGCATGGCTCGCGCGACGGGACAGTCGTGCTGGGGCCAAACCCACATCGGCGCAAACAATGTCCGAATATGATCGTTTCCCTTTGCCAGATATGCTTACTAAGACAAGGCAATGGGAAAGAGAAATTCAGCAATGCAAAACTTGTTCCCAGGCACTGTCGAATTTTATATACTAGAATTTTGCACTCAAAGCCACTTACATGTGTAATGCATGCCACGTGTATCACTGAGTAACCATGGTATCCAGGAAATAAGGGCAGCTAAACGTCAGTGCTTTTCGAGTGTTCAGAAGCCCGTTTCAATTTCGTGCTGTATTATGAAGATCAATGAGCGCATTTTCGACTGCCGCTGTAAGCTGAGCCAAGTGCGCATTCTCAACAATACGCCGGGCACTCAAGGACGTCTGCAGCATCGTGTTTGCGAGTTCAGCTACATTTTCAATCGCTTTACTGTCCCTGGCCATTGCCCTTGCAGAGTCTAATCGGTCTTTCAGCTGTCGTACTTCAGCCCACGCCGTCGATGCAGGGTCAGGTAGATACATGGATACAGAGCTAAATATACCATCATACACCTCAATTTCCTTTGATAGTTCATGACAATATTGAAATCTTAGCAGCGGAAGTGCTGTCTCTGCCTTCGTCGCAACCGCCATAACCCTAAGTTTCGTTTTCTTGTCCAGTGCAGATGATCCAAATCCTTCGCTATCTAGTTTGTACTTTTTCCCCTTCTTCGCTGCCTCCAGCGTCTCCTGCGCTTTCAACCAATGATCCTTCGCCAAAGCTTCAATCATGCTCCACGGTTCGGCAAAGTATTTCTTCACAGCGTCTGCGGCAACATTCTGAGGGGTCGAAGCACCCTGTACCTTTTCAAGAGTACTGGACTTTATCTTAGTTGTCAGCGTTTGCAGTAGAGCTTTCCCGCTAGCAAAACTAAGCACATCTTCAGGTTTGTCACCAATATGTGCATAAAGATCATGCGCGGAGCGCCAGGAATCTTCGCTGTCGTCGACGACAGTCTCAGCAATTTTCGCCATGGCCTCAGCGGCAGCGTTGGCCTCTTCTTTGCTGAGCTTCTGACGCTTCAGAACTGAATCCAACTTCTCCTTTTGCAGCTGCACTGTGGGCTTGAGCCTTTGATTGAATAGCTGTGCGCGTTTGTACGCAGCTGCAACAGCATGGACGTCCTTCGCACTAGCTATACCTTGCATATCCTGATATTGCTGTTGAAGCAAATTGTTTACGGCATGTAATTCTCCGTCTGTTATTCCAGATGCTGTCTGGCCTGCACATGCCGGGCGAAATTTTGACAATAACGCATGGACTTCCTGGGCCAATTTTACGTCCATCTCAAGCGGTACGCGTTCAAGCTGCAGCACTCCTGTCAGCCAAGACTTTTGGGCTTGTAGTATATATTTCTCCAATGCGCTGCCCACAGCAGACAAGCGTTGCAAGGTTTCCTTCCTGAAATTCATGGCAGCAACGGCTGCGTATGCTTTGACGAAATCATATCCACTGCATTCGTCAGCAAACTCTATTGACTGCAAGATTCTAAGCTGGGCTTCATTCTCATGTTTCAGAGCTACCGACGTATTTACCACCGAAGACAGCGTCGAGAGACACAATTTGAACTCTTTCCAATCGGCCATCTCCCCCAGAGCACTCCGTATACTCTCGTAGCTTGAAGAAAAGGTCTCAGAACAGTACGCATGCACTTGCTCACCGTGTATTTTTGCCAGATTCACCAACTGCAAGAGAGCATCGCGGGCTCGTTCAATGCATGCTTCCATTAGGCGGACGGTCTCACACCGAATGTATGGAAGGTTTGGATCTCCTCGGCATTTCGCTAAATCGTAGTCCCATTCCGCCTTTTCAGCTGTTTCCGCATTCTGCTTCAATGTGCTGACAATCCCCGGTGTCTCCCTTGCCATCAATTCATCCGTCAGCCTCGTTGCAACACCCACCAGACTGCTGATGACGTTCCGACGAGCCCTCAAATCTCGCAATTTCTCATCATCCTGGATATCCATGACAGGTACGGGTTCTGGAACTTCGTGGGTCGCCACAGGGGCGATTGCTGGAGGGACATACGGCTCAACATACCCCAATTCCGGCACACTAGGCGCTGGAGCTGGCGCTGGTTGTTCTGGAAGCTGTGGCAAGGTAGGCTGCATTGGCGTAGGCTCAAAAGGTAGTGGCTGAGTCGGTTGTTGAACGGCTTCCACTTCTTCTGCCTCCTGTTCAATACCTGGTTGCAGCTGGTCAGAAGCCCCGGTAGGAGGCCCCTGCCCATGTGCCACTTCCTCTTCAATACCTGGTTGCACATGCGACGGGGCCGCGGGAGGAGGCCCCGCCTTCCGGACAAACTCCTTTCGTGTCTTTCTCGCACGAGATATCGGCCTCTGCACGAATCCTTCATCTGGTACTGCATCCACACCAGGCTCCTCTGGTTGTTTTGTTTGTTTCTCATGTGGAACTTCCGCTTTTGGTTTACGCCGCGGCATCGGTACGGGCATTTGTGCCATAGGCATTTGGGACAGGGGTATTTCTTTCGCAGGTTCCTCTGGCTGCGAAACTACCAGTTCCGGTGAAGGTTCTTCTTCCTGCACAGGCTTTCCTTCTTCTCCTGCTTTTTCTGCTTTTTTACGGGGCAGGGGTATTTCGTTCGGAGGTTCCTCTGGCTGCGAAACTACCTGTTCTGGCGAAGGTTCTTCTTCCTGCACAGGCTTTCCTTCTTCTCCTGCTTCTTCTGCTTCATTTCCTTCCTCCCATTCCGGTTGGGGTTCCTCTTGGAGAGGTTTAACTTCTTCTTCCGCCTTCTTTTTGCGCTCTCGCTCCCTGAGAAGTACAACTGCCCTTATTAA